TAACTATAGTTATGCTCCTTATCTGCTTATGGAACTACATTTATGCAAAAAGGATGGGCTGAATTGCATGGGTGAAAATGCACCCATTTGCATATAGGAGCTTTGCATATAGATATCATTGCTGTTTCAGAAAACAGTAATTACAATTTTTTCCTCAGTTTTGGTTTATAACTCAGGTGAGTTACTTGCTGATTTAGGGAGGGAAACAGAACGTGTAAGTGAAAAGTGATGAGAGGCAGCAGTAAGTGAAAGGAGACTATTGTGAAGCCCTGATGAAACTGGTGAGCTTCTTTCTGCTGGTTTTGAAGAGCCTTGGAACAGACCTAAGCAAGGCTTTGGGCGAATGGTAAATAAGTCACATTTGTAGATCAGCATTCTAATTTTATAATAAATGAATTACAAATAGAGATGGTTGGGCTTTGTTACTTGCAGTTAAAGGAGTTTCTGTCTTCTATTTTATTTTAAAAACTATTTTCCAAAAGGTAGAGATACCCTGAGTTCATAGTCTTCATTTTTACATACCTAGGTAGAGAGTTATCTACAGCAAACAGAAGTTCCCTGTGAAATAAAGAAATCATCTTTTGCTGCTCATTTTCAAAGTGCTAAGGGCCATTCGAAAATGAAAATACACTGTTTCATTTCCAATGCTTTTACTTTCATAATAGATTTTATCATGTATTGTGTTGCTTTCTCCACATTAAATTCTTCCTGGGAGAAGGTCATACTTAGGACTAGGCTTTTTGCAGTTTTTAAAAAGAGACTTACCATTTAGTTCTTCTTTTATTTGTAATGATCTTTGTTTCTTAGGCCATTTTTTTCAGATTTCAGTTCTTTAATTTTTCAAAAGGAATAATTAGGCACAGTTTAAAAAGATGAATACTGCTCTTTTAATACATCATAGCAAGTTTCTGTTAGTGTATGGCCAGTAAAGCAACCTGAAAAACAGTCTGGAGTGATATGTACTGGAAGGTCAGGGTGCCTGGCTAAGAAGGCTGAAGTAGAAGATACACCTAGAAGAGAAACTAAATTGTTTCCTGTCAGGCTTGCACCTCGAGCTCACTCACTTAACCATCCCTAACAGGCACTTCTTTTTAGTGTTTGATAACCAGAAATAGAAACTTAGCTTTTTTTTTTTTTAAACTTCGGTTATGGTGTTGCTAACTACAGATGCGTTTACATCCTCTTCTGGTGGTGATCATGTGACATAGTAAAGAAAGAGGAGCAAAAGGAAGAGATCAGAATTAGGACAATCTCTGTGGTCCATCTGAGAGATCTGTGGAGATTATCCCAAGAAACACGGTGTCTCAAGTATTGCCTAGTCAAAGCACAAAAGGTGACGGATGCTGCAAGAGAGCTCCCAGGCTATTGGAACTGAACGCCCCACAAATCAGAGATGGGCTTCTCAGCCATAAGCCCAGCTTTGTGCACGCATCGACAGCTTCCTCCTTGATGGGTAGGCACTTGCTACCTACATGGGAGACAGGTGTCATGAGCCATCTGAGATGAGAGGTGGCCACTTTTGGGTATATTTGGAATCATGACAGGCTGTCTTTTGCACCGTGGCTGCAGATATTGCCCCCCGATGTGGCTGGGGAGAAGGTGGGGGGGCAGAGCGGTGTGGGACGTGACACGTCCAGCGCTCGCTCCTGCTGCACTTGTTGCTTTTGGGCTTCCCCTGCAGACCCAGCACCTAGGAACAGCTGCTCTGTTGGCTCCGTCCGTGAGAGCCTTGCAAAGAAAGCTTAGAGAAAGCTCTGCAGCATTGTTTGGCAACGGTCTCTGCCCTTGCTGACTCAAGTATGAAAGGCTGTGCTTAGGTCTGCACATAAATTACACCCCAGGCTGTTAAGCCACAGTGCCTTGGAACGAGGAGGCTTTTCACAGCACAGAACGACAATGTTAGGTTAAGGGTTGAAATCTTGGGCTTCAAATGAGGAAATGAAGCCAGACAAAACTGTACACATACCCAGTCGTATAAAGCCATCTGTTAATCGGAGCATTTTTGTCTGCTTTAAAAAGAAGTAGCTTATTACCCCAGTACATTGTTTGGGTTTTTTTCTCTTTTTTTTTTTTTTAGCATTTGGTCACAAAAACAGTCACTGGGAATCGTAAACACCATCACAATGCTACACATTTTCACATAAGTCATGAAGGTCCCCTTACCATGTAGAGCATGTTGCTGGCTGGTGGATCCACTCCAGACCGGAATCTGTTATGGGTTTGCACACATTCCTCAATAAACTTTGGATCTCCAACATCAGGCAATGTCGGTGGTCCATAGGAGTCAGAGGAACGACACAAGTGCAGTAAAGCCAGCACACAAGCGAAAAACCTGCTTGTCATGATTCTCAGCCACTGGTCTTCCAGCTTTACTAGCAGAGTGTTTCAGCTGTATGAGGTGGTTGTAGCTGCACCAGCAGCATTTTGCTTGGAAGGCTTGTGGGCTGGACTTATCTGAGCGATGGCAATCGAATATGACATTCGTCACAGGAAATGAGTCGTATTTCAGGAGCGTTGCTATGAGAATAAGGAAATCAAGCTACAAGTTCACACCAGAGCCGAGGCAGCTTCCCCTCTCTTTTTTTTTTTCTTCTTTATTTAGTTGTGGTGGGCAAGCTGCTTCTTTCCTGTCCTTCGTGTTTTTTTGGTTTTGTTTGTCTGGCCCCCACCATCTCATCCATAGCAATCCCTGTGGATTGCAGTAAAGTTTTGGATGAATTTTCTGTTTTTCATGAAAACAGCATTGCTGTTAAGGCTGTTACTATGATCCAAAATGCTGTGAGAAAAAATTGCTTTGAACTATGACTTTTACTACAAGATGAACAGTCACTTTGTTGGTACATTGAGTTATTGGAGGGGTAAGTTTGGCTGAGAACTGCAATTTAAATATGCTGCAGTTATTGATGGGTTTCTCCTGTTACCACATGCTGGTGCTATGTGTTGCTCTCAATTTCTCCTCCCAAGCTTTAGCAATTCATAATTCATTCCCTGCAATCCAAGCTGATGCTGATCCTGATGTCCCCTGCACATTGCTTCAGGTGCCCAACACTCCCTGCTCAGACCCCCCACCATCACCACCCTCTTCCTCACACTGCCCTTAACTATCACCTGTCCATCAAGCTCAGGACCTTTACCATTCCCCCATCCTGGACATCTCTGTGGGAACAAGGTTGGATTTCTTCCTGCTCCAGGTTTCGTTTTAGGAATCTGCATCCTTTGAACACCTGGGTGTAGGTCCCAATTAGCACTTCTGCGCATGCAGTCCTGAAGGTGTTGGGGCTGGTGACAAGGCCACATTCAGGTTGATGGACCAGGAGTCACTGTTCCATCTCAGCCATCTGAGTCCTCTCAGAGCTATCAGAGTCATCTCAGTCCTTCTCAGCCATCAGAGAAGAATAATGTGGTGGGTTGACCCTTGGCAGCAGCTGAGCACTCACACAGCCACTTGCTCACTCCCCCCTCCCCCCTCCCCAGCAGGACAAAGGGAGAAAACAGGAAGATGAAAAGCGAGAAAATGTATGGGTCAGGATGATGACAGCTGAACGTGTGTGGAAATAAGTAGGAGGAAACAAACAAACCCGCAAGTGATGCAAAGGCAGTCACTCACCACCCCTAATGGCAGACTGATGCCCAGACAGTCTCTGAGCAATGGCCACCCTGGAAGCACACCCCCCCACCCCCCCTGCTTCTTATTCCTCTACCCCTGTTTTTTTCTTTGACGAACACAATGTTATATTGTATAGAACATCCCTTTGGTCAATTCAGGTCAGCTCTCCCAGCTGTGCCCACTCCCAAGCACTTGCCCACCCTCAGCCTACCTGCTGTTGCTACTTACAAAAGATGGCAGCAGACAAGAGCTGTGAAATTAAATATATATCTTCTTACATGGTGACATTTTGCAGCATATGACAAGAGCCCAAACATTTGGGGCTCATTTTTTATTCTGTGGGATGCCATGCTCCTTCAGAGCTTTAATGTGGCTCAGAATTTGCGTCACTACGTTCTCAAAAATTAGGACTAAAATAAAGGAGGAAAAACAGCTTTAAGTATTGATAGCACCGTTATGCATTGCTAATATCAGCCAGTATCTCTGAGCTTGAAAGACGGGTTTGTTTCCCTTACTAACAACAGTATACAGGATTAGGGATCGAGGGCTAAATGCCTCTAAAAACAAACTGAATCCATCAACAGTTTGGACTTCTTTAATGAGGCTGAATTCTTCCATTTCTGAACCAGCATCTGTCCTGGGCCCTGATTTCATCTTCACTCTGCTGTTTTTCCACCCTGTCCTGCCTTTCCCCTGCCTACAAGCTCAGGATGGCTGTCATCTACTCTGCATTTTAGATTTTGTCACCATCTCACATGCTAAAATTAAGCTCTCCCCATTGGCACCCCATCTTAATCCTTGCTCTGTCAACTTTCCTGGGTATTCTTCCAGCTATGGAGGGCAAAGCTTAATTCTGAGATGAGAAGAACAGAACAGCACAACTGACAATAGAGTAACTTTAACAGAGACTGACACACATAGGCTAAATATAGTAAACGACAAGCTTTACTCCTGTGCATAAAAAGTAATACATACAGTTAAACCTCTGTTACCTGGGGAAAACAATGTCTCAGATGACTGAAAGTTAATGGAGGTGAGTTATTGCTTCTTTTGGACACATTGTGCTGCTTCAGACATGTCTTCGTGATGCCCCAGGCTTCCAGGAGGCTTGTTAGCATATATAGTAATATATAGTCCACGTGGTCCCCCTAGCAATCTACTCCGGAGCTACGAGGCTTGTGCAGATTTAGAAGCGTGTTGCAGCTACTGCCAATAAATTACACTAACTCTACGCACAGCCACTTATATCTTGCCTTGAGTGAAGAAGCAGCCTTTTCTGTGCTGGATAAACATCACCAGGATAATGGAGAGATGAATGAGTGTTTCTGCAAATGTGTGCAGTTCTCTGAGAGTAATACAGCGGTAGGATCACTGTCAGTGTCTTAAATGATCATTACTCATAAAAAAATGTGTGTGGAAACCACTGTTGTACTAAAAGAACAGCACCAACACTCAGTACCAAAAACAGTGGCCTTAAAATTGAAACACTAAGACAGTATTGGTCACAAGAGGGATGCGGATGCTTAGCAGGTGGGATGTACGGCGTCACAGGAGGCCTTGGGGGATGGGGCTGAGGTGGCTGGGGCTGTGTATCCCAGTCTGGATACCAGTAGGCATAATCTAAAAAACAGTGAAGAAACAGCTAAGAGCCAACAAACTTAGCCATACTTACATGAAAGCAACTAAGAATGATTTGATACATACTGATCAGCTTCTCACGTTCCATATTTCCTGTAAAGAGGTCAGAAAAGGAAATAAATGTGAGTATCGTTCAGTGATGGTTCTTAATGTAAAGAGGTAAGTGATTGCTGGTGCCTAGCTGATTGCACTGATGATGCCTAAAACATCCTGCAAGGTGAGAGCAGGCCAACAAGAGCAGGTTCCCAACTGCTGTGGGGCTCATATTTTTTACTGAATTGAGAGAAGCAGCTGGATTAGGAAGAATTTGTGTCATGGGGAAGAGTGAATAGCAAATAAAAACAAAACATGGAATTTATTTAGAATTGATACACAAACAAAATGTAAGTAGTTACAGACAGACAAATATAACTACTAAATTTATCACAGAAGTACACCTTTAGTAAGACCTTGCATGCATTTGCAGGATCGCCTATGTGCATCCTATTGGAATTGCTGAATTGCCCTGTAGGAGAATATGGTAAAAGGGGTTGTATGATCTAGCACATTTAATTTTTAAAAGCTCTCTTCCTCCTCTCCCTCCCCCTAGTCTTTGAGATGTTTCTAGTTTTCCTGTGATACATCAGTCAGACTTGAAGATGAGTCAGCCAGGATATCACAAAAGGAAATAAAAGTACCACATGCTCAATTATTTTTACAGCTGAAGCTATCTAGAGCCTGGCTACTAGAGGCTGTCCCCAGTAAACCTCTGTATAGAATTCATATTTTATTTAAGACATTGTTGCATGTCCTTTAATCTCCATTTATTTAAAACACAGTTTCTGACTAATTTGGGACTAGGTGTAATGACATAAAGGTCCACAATGGCAAACTGCTGTGGAAAAACAAGCTCTCGCTGCTGTATTGCAGAAAATTGCAGAAATGTGCTTTTCAGTATTGTCTTATTATTGGTTCAGAGCTATAGTTGTCTGGAAAACGTGACAGGACATACTAAGCAAGCAAGAAAGCAGAAGTTAAATATACTATTTTTGCTAGGAAAGAAGAACCAGGCGAGGAATATTTGTTGGTGCTAAAATTTTAGATATGACTTCCTGATCAGATAAAAGGCAGAAAGTAGCCTAACTCATACTTCATCAGAAACTCTGGCTTCTACCTCTGACAGCCTTCAGCAGCAAAGCATTTAAATTACTTCCTTTTTATCCTATTCTTACCAGGGTTTGGTACTGTTGCTGTGTGATGGGCTACGGACCCATTCAGTGCAATTTGACGCATTTTTTTATTTCCACTGATAATTACACCACTTTTATTTCTATGCAATTTCTTTTGGTCTTACCACAGAGCTTGTCTGCACACTTCTCATTACTGCATCCACTGCACGGTTGTCCTGCTTTATATGGTTTTCTTGGGTAATTCCCCCTGCAAAGCAGAACAAGAGTATTTTGCTAGCTCAGTTGTTTGAAAAGCAATTCATATACATGATTTCATCAGATTGGTTGAATAATTTATCCTAAAAAGTTATTGGGGGGAGGGGGAGGAGGGAGATCCCTTTATCAAAAACCGAACATTGCAATTGTTTGAAATTCCTTTTAGGTCAGATTAAAGCTTTCATTGACATGGGGAGCAGACACCTGGTGACGTGCAATTAATGAGACTTCTCAGGCAATACTGTATTATTCAGTCTAAGCATAAAAGATTCTGCCCCTAGACTCTCACTACCCACCTGTATTTTAAAAACAAATCTGTAAAAGCTAAGTTCAGAAATTTCAAGGTACAAAATAAACTAGGGGACTGTCTTCTTTTTATTTCTTCAGTTAAAATGGCTTCTTTGATGTTTGGGTGGGGACACGGAAAGATGTAATCTTTCTCAAGCGGAAAGCTTGCACCTTCCCTATTTTTCCTGCAGAGGCTGAAGGCAAAACAGATTTTACTGCACCATCTTGATTATGGTGAATGCTCTCAACTACGATCTGCTTGCATACTCTTTCAGAAAGGGCTTTTCTGCAGCTCCAGCTATGTGCAGCAGCTTCTGCTCTCAATGGCTGGGGGAAGCTTCCCTTGGACTACATGTGGATGTAGTTTCCTCTGAAATGTGTTACAACTGCTCCCATCATTTTTGGCATCTGCTACCAGGTCAGTTATGGGATATTTAACAAATTTAGACATCCCACCTCCCCAAATGCCATAATTAACTTACGCTGGCCCATAGTCACAAACAAAATGTGCTGCTCTGAGGAGTCCTGGAAAATTTTCGACTGTCCTGCAGAAGTGAACTGCGCAGCCAACTTTGTAACTCTCTGCCCAAACAACCTGGGGGGCAAAGGGAAATACGTAATGCACCAGCCCAACAACATTACAGCAGGAAAGAGAAGGGAAGGATTTTTAAAACAGCTGACATAGGAACAACATCGACAACCTGAAGAGCAGCTGACACAAAGAACTGATTGACAGAGGTTTTTGCATTTATTATCCACTCCCGTGGAAACATGAATTTGTCAGGGGGATAATGTTTTTCCACCATTACTGAAAATAGGACTCGGACATCCCTGGGGTTTGGAATATTTATTTCCAATCTCATGCAACAATAAACTGTGGGGTAAAACCCCTTGCTGTAATTTCTGCTCCAAAGTGGTCTGTTCCAAGCCTGTACTGGGATTCTCCGTGAAACCATTACACTGTACACCACTGGGCATGTAAGACTCACCTGGGTGTAGTGACCACACATGTCAGTACAGCTATTGGTCCTGAAATCATAGCTGCTGACTTCATTAAACCAGTCACTGAGAGCTGCATCCACGGAAAAGATGGTGGCTGTGCCAGTCCAGATGTTTTCTCCAACAGGAGTAAAGGTGGGGTGCACCTTCCCCGGCCTTTTAAGGTAAACATTGTGCTGAAACTTGCACTTCTTTGCCCACGCTTTCGCAGTCTTAGCTAAAGCAGCATCCCAGGACTGTGGAAAAGGAAGAAAACATAGTATAACCTGTACTGCAGTGACTTACCTGAATCCAAACATTTTTAAACAGAAACTTGTAGGGATTCTTTTCCTTTTTTTTTCTGCTTCCCATCCCTGTATTCGATTTCTTTCTCTGACTCGACATTTCTACTCCCATAGCAATTTTTTTTTCTTCTTTCTCCCTTAGATATTGCAGGACATGTCATATCTATCCACTGTCCTGTGGTATTTGACTTGTTAAAATATTTAGAGTTGGACTGCAGTCTTTAAGCTGCTAGGCCTGAGAGGAGGTAACTGGGTGAAATCCCCAGCCTTATAGGGGCTTGAGGAACTTTAGGTCTAGGAGCTGTTGGCTGTCTAGGGGTTTGCATTTTGCAATTATCACTAGACCAGATGGGAATTCTGTTCTGCTGTCCAGGATGGAGGGGTGAAGAGTCACAGCTGCTCCTTTTCCCAGTCCCATCTCCCTCTCCTCCTAAGTGTGTGGCCAAAGCAAATACGAGGCGCACGCATCTTTGCTGGGCTGAGGAAGAACCGTTCCCATCCTGAGTGGCACAAATGATAATTTGAGAAACCGGTCTGCGAGACCCGCAGAAAGTTTTTATGCCACTGAATGACCAAGCAACAAAATGGCAGGTAAAATTCTGTGCAAAAAAAGGTAAGTTAAGGAGACCTCATTGCAGCTTTCCAGTATCTGAAGGGGGCCGACAAGGGTGCTGGGAGAGGACTTTTCACAAGAGCCTGTAGTGATAGGACAAGGGGTAATGGGTACAAATTGAAATCAGGGAGGTTTAGATTAGATATCGGGAAGAAATTCTTCACAGAGAGGGTGGTGAGGCACTGGAACAGGTTGCCCAGAGAAGCTGTGGATGCCCCATCCCTGGAAGTGTTCAAGGCCAGGCTGGATGAGGCTTTGAGCAACCTGGTCTAGTGGAAGGTGTCCCTGCCCATGGCAGGGGGGTTGGAACTAGATGATCTTTAAGGTCCCTTCCAACCCAAACCATTCTATGATTCTATGATTCTATGTGTTTTAAAAAAAAACCCAAACAATTGTGACTTTGTGTTCATAATGACAGCTTTGGAGCTGGCTATTACCAAGTGTAAGCCAATGTTTAGAAGTAGTCTAAAGAGCAAATACCATGTTAAAAATTCCTTGAGAAGGAATGGAGAATAAAATCAGGAATATAATTATACCACAGTAGGAGTCCTCTTAAATGCTGTGTGCAGCACCCCACCTTAAGAAGGGGACACTAGAACTGGAAAGGGCAGGGAGAACATGGAGGACGATGATCATCCTCAAGTATGGAGGCCTGTCATAAAGCAACAGAGTGCTCTGCAGCTTTGGTCAGAGACAGCTGGACATCTTGTGTGAAGTAGGTAAATAAGCAATGATGACTTGCTCCTTCCAATACAAAGACCAGAAAAAATCAAATGAAGCTAGGAATTAACAGGTCCAAACCCCAGGAGCTACCTTTACATAACTTGTGGTTAGGCTGGGCAACTCTTTGCCTCACAGTGCTAGGGACGATAAAAACTTGCACGAGCTCAAGGGTGAAAAAAAAAATCATACAAGAAAAATCCATCAAGAGCTTTTAAATACAATGCAACACCTTTGATTCAAGAGATTTCTATACATTTGTACTGCTGTTATTCCAGGCTTGCTGTATCTTTGGTTTGAGAGGCTGAGTTTGCTCTTGTGCACTAGCATTTTAAATTAAAAGTTGGGGGTTTTTTAAGTGGCAGGAAACTAAAGGCACAAATACACTGGATGTTACACCTTTACTTGAACTTCCTTTCATAGAAATGATTCATGTTGTCCGTGCAGCTATGCATTTAACTTCCTTTCCAGCAATGCAGTACTGATGGAGGGCTCAGAGCAATCAACTGACATGAACTGACAGGGGTTACCTCCCTCAGCTACCTATCTACCATTTTCCTTATTTATTCCACCAAACAAGCTGAGACCTATCCATGGCCTGTTCTGATATCCACTGTATTTGTAGGAAGCTCCGCTTTCCAGCCCAGATAACAGTGTCCCTACTCTTCAAAGCCTGCTACAGCAAATGAAGATCAAATATCTAAATGGATGTCCTGGCAAATTCCTTTCTTCAACACATGTTCTAGATTGGAATAAACAAGGGGAGATGAAAAATTTTCAACAAATCCTGTCATGCAGATTGCCTATTCAGGAACTTTTTCATACCAAACAGCTTCCCTGTACGAAACTTGGGCTAGCATAAACAGATTACTACCTCTTTTAGAAAGAGGTAAATGAAATGCTGAGAACTGAACGCTATTTTTTGCAATACAGCCCTTTGCCCTGGCTGAAGTTTAGACTACCAATCCGTCCCTCAGCAAAGAATTCCCTTTAAATTATTAAAACTGAACAATACTGTGAAGTTACTGTATTTTCTATTTCCTGTGAAGGACTAACATATATAGTACAGAAATCATTGACAGAAAGGGAAAGCACAAAGCAAATTAAGAATATGGTGGGCTAAATCAGCAGCACAATCTATATTAATTTTCAAACAGATCATGAACAACTTCTTACCATGCGAAACATATTGCTGGCCGGTGGATTCACTTTGGATCGAAACGTGTTGTGGGCTCTCACACAGTCTTCAATGAACTTTGCATCTTCTATGTCAGGCAAGGGATATTGTGGATAAGCATGACAGCAAGCAAAGTGATCCAGTAAAACCAACGCAGACAACAAAAATGTGATTTTCATAATCCTTCAATGCTTTCAGTACTATGGTTTTTTTAATATTTAAAAGAAAAATCTCTTAGGTTTAGATAACACCGGCAAGCAGTTCTTCAGAGGTTTTCCTCTGGGTGTGGGCACACTTTAAAGTAACAGGAAGTGAAATTGCTTCATAAAGTACAGCTCTATCTGACGTCAGAGCTGTCTGTCAAAGGGTAAACCCTGAAACAGGCGTCTGCCATGCATGCTAGCAAGGACCCACGCTCCAGATACGCTTTCATCTTTCTTTGAGTGTGCTCCATTCTGGTTGACTGCCAAACCATTCTGTGACTGGACATCTTACCTGAAGATCGGCTGCTGAACAGCTTTCCTAAATCCTGTGTCAACCATAAAAATCGTAGCTTTGACAAAACACAAACCTGTTGTTCAGCTGATTTTCTTACAGTATAGCTTAGTCATCACACCAGCTCAATTAAAATTATTTTGCAAGACCATGCTTCCATTTCAGAATTACTCTAGGAATAAACACAATTAGGGAAACTTGCATATATGGAAATTTGACCTCATCAGGAGGAAAAAAAGTTCCTGAACAGCAGCTTGCTGCAGAACAGACCTTCTGACCTGGTTTGGTATGCAAAAAAAAGCAAGGTTTGGAAATCCTAAGCTTGAGTATGTGTCGATTCTCTCCTTCCTTAGCCATTTGCCATTATCTGATAGCCTGAAGTCACTGAAGGAACTTCCTGTACCCCTGGAGAGCACCTATAGGGTTAGTGCTGCTGGTATAAGGTTCCATGTCTGATCACTTCTTCAGCGGGAGGATGGGTTTTGTATTGTTTCGCCAACTGTTCCACAAGCTGATTTAAGTTTTTTTTCAAACCTAAAACAAATTGTATAAACATGCAAGAGCATAAGGACGACTGTGTGTTTTAAGAGCTAAGATCTTGTAACTCAGATTTAAGTAGCTTTACATTGTATTTCCATATTCATTTACAACATTCATTTTCAAACATGAATGTTGTAAACATTCATAGATCTGATTCCTATCTCAGTTTTGCAGGTCAGGCCTTATCCTACAGAACACCTGTGGAAATTACCGTTTGGGTGTTGCCTTCTCTGTTTGCATGATGGCTTTTCCCTCTTAAATAATACCCGTGATTTGCTTCAGTCTTGTAACAATCTGTACACGTAAATCAGACAGGCTGAGGGAGCTGTAGTCCTCCAGCACCATCACACCTATACCTATCTAGGCTGTAAGCAGGAGGCGTATAATTCAGTATTTCTCTGTGTGCGTGTGTTTATGGATGTCCATGCATTACTCTCCACACCCTCCTCTTAGCCCTGCCATGGTTTGTTGACCATCTTCACAAAAGTAGGGGCAGATGTAGGAGGCAAAAAAGTTGCAGGCGACACAGACTGCTGGTGTTTTGGATCTTCTGGAGAAGAAACAAAAAGGGGACTTCCAATTATTCTGCTTGGACAGGTCTAACACACCCCTTAGCAATGAACAGCCTTCAGAGGCACAAGACACCTGGACAGAGAGGGAACTTGTACAACAATTTCCTGTGCTTTGAAACTCTCCCGGTAAGACCACCTTTTTTCCTGTAATAAATTATTTGTGTAAAAAAGACTAAGCTGAAGTGGTCAGTGGAAGGAGACTGGCCACTCCCTCTTTCTCTGTGGGCACAGCTAGCTGGGTGCAAGATGCTTTTGGTCCTGTCATGTCCTTGATAAAAAAATGCATGGAGGACTACAGGTCATCTCAAACTCTCACCTCCCTGGGCAAGTAAAGGGAAGCAGGAGGAGAAGCACCCAGCCTGGCACAACCCCAGTCTGAGGCAGTAGTCACACCTGCAGCCCAGCCGTTGGCTTTGAACTCTAACTGCTTTACCTGTTCCTCCACCAGCGGTTGGCTGTGGCTCCATCTGCGCCCAGAGCACGTATGGGATGGTCATAACCTCACCCTCCTTTACTACATCCCCCTGGTGCAGCATGAACTGTGCCAAGGTCCTTTGTCAAGCAGACGTAGTTCCTATTCTCTTCTGCTGTCCCAGTCTATCCCAGAAACTGCGTGTGGGCATTGGCAAAGGTGACAGGGCCCTCAGCTGCGGTGGGACGTTTTAAATCGTGTGGGAGGATGGCCTCTTGCTGACATCAGTGGCTGCTGGTCAGGCTGGAATGGTGAAGGGGATCTTAGGAGGGAGGTTTCTTCCTGTGGGTGCCATTATCTTGTCCCACCAGAGGAGAGAGGTTGGTCTCTCCTGTCAGCTGCTTGCTTCTGGGCTACAAATACCCTTCAATCCACCATGTGCATTCCTGAAGCCAAAAAGGTACCAACCATCCAGGTGTCACTGGCAGTGGGGTATGTGTGTGGAGCACAAGGTAATGAGGAGATGCTTAAATCGAATTATGACATTTTAGATCACTGTGGTGAATAGCCCTCTCCTCTGCCTCTACACTGACCATACGAGGCCTGTCCACTGCTTTGTTCCTTTGAAAGCCACCCTGCCTCTTTGTAGCCAGGGCCAACTGCGTTCAGTTTACCACCAACTATTCTTTATCCAGCTGAATATTACCTTGAATCTAGAAAGTGAGTATGTTTCCTCTTTCTTTTTCTTTTCTAATAATGCCCACGTAATCTATGAGAATCTAAATCCTTCAGTCTGCTAGACTTCATATAAAACTATGATTATATTACAACTACATGCAATTTGCACAAAAATCATCATCACACTAAATCTGCACCATTAATTTAGCAATGCAGTGACCTTGCAGTTATATATGTATGCCAGTTGAAATTCTGTGCTTGGAAACTGAACTGAGATCTTCTATGAAGTAGGAATTTTATGTCCAGGTTAGACAATGATTTCCCGCAGAGATGACTCTGGCTCCATCTAGTGGTTCTGCCTACAACTAAAGCTGAAGTCCAGCCTGCCGTCAAGCACCTATACCTAATGTTTTCACAAAAAAGAGTTATAATCCTTTGCCAGCATTAATCGGTGGATCTTCTAAACCAGATGAAAATTTAAGCTCTGGGATAGGGATGTCACATTATATTTACCTGGACAATACAAGCATTGCCTGTCCCTGTACAGATCTCAACTGAAATTTAGCACAATGACCTGGGTATGGGCAGGAAGCTGTACAGCCCAGTGATTTTGAAAAAAATCATAGAATCATAGAATCATAGAATGGTTAGGGTTGGAAGGGACCTTAAAGATCATCTAGTTCCAACCCCCCTGCCATGGGCAGGGACACCACCCACTCCCCGTGTTTACATCTCTCTCACTTCTCACCTGCTTTCAGTTTAAAATGGCTGGAAACGTTAAGACCTCAGATTCTTAATTTTTCCCTAACGTAGGATTGAGTCAGAGGACTAAAGGCTGGTGGATTACAGACTATTACAGAAATCCAAAATGCCTGGGAATCTGTAAAATTACATTTAATTTTTTCCTCAAATCATCAACTTCCCCTAAGTGTTGTTATTTGTGTTGGGGAAAGAATCTGTTTGTCCTTGATTTACTAGGCCCAGCTGACCAAACAGGGGTGGATTGGCTGGGTTTTCTTGTTCTGTCCACGCGATTAGGCAGCTGTAAGGTCACTTGGCCTTCCAGACCTGTGAATAAACTAATATTCTGACATGTATTGCAACCTCTGTTCCACTATCTCACCTCAGGGCAGAGAACAGATTAAATTAAAAGATGGTGGTGGTACTGGAGTTCCACAAGAATTATTTTGTGATAAACTATTTTGTATTTATTAAAAGCTAAAAAAATATTTTTTAATAATAAAACTTTTATTATTTCGTAATAAAGAGGCTGTAAACAGCCTCACAGCTAACAGGGGAGGCCATCGGCGTGTGGGTGAACTGCAGGTAGTTTCACTGTGGTTTTGGTTAGGGGAATTTGCACAGTGCTGCTAACTGTACTGTGTAGCAAAGTGACACGGCACCGCTTGCTGCGTTCTCTCAGCAAATACCGGGGTGTCATAAGGACCGAAGCACAAGAGATTGCTAGGTGTTCCTTCCCCTGTGGTGCCTACCTCCTGCCAGTCAAGATGGCCCTTCACCACATCTACTTTGCCCCTCAAGGACTGCCTGTTTCCCTCCCTCTCGTCAACCAAACGATGAGGAAGTGTGAAACACACACCGAAGGCTGTCTCCTCCCTCTGGCGACAGCTCTGGTGAAGGTTGTGAAGGGAAGATGGATAGGCAGTGATAATGCTGTGGAAGCTCTTTTCAGTGGCGCCCAGTGACAACACCAGAGGCACAAACTGAAACACAGGAGGGTCCCCTCTGAACATCGGGAAGCACTTTTTACTGTGAGGGTGACAGAGCACTGGCACAGGCTGTCCAGAGAAGTTGCGGAGTCTCCATCCTTGGAGACATTCAGAAGCCGTCTGAACATGGTCCTATGCCACCGGGTCTGGGTGCCCTTGCTTGAGCAGGGGGGCTGGGCTAGGTGATCTCCAGAGGTTCCTTCCAACCTCAACCATCCTGTGACTCTGCCATTCCTTGATGGAGCCAAAGCTTCATCAGGTTGTGCAGGATGAAGGATTTAGCATGATCTCAACAGCATAGATACAGGAAGCTTGTTACAGGGTACAAGTATTTGCCTAGCTGGAGACGGTCTCTGGTTATCTTTCTTGCCCTTCATACATGATTTAAATTTTTTGAACTTAAATTACTATCATTTGTCACATTTCATACAAACATAGAATTTTTTAGGTTGGACAGACCTTTAAGATGATCAAGTCCAACCATTTATTTCTTTCTTTTTAAATTCAAGGCATTTGAAAAATGAGAATACTTTCCTCCTATCCATCCTAAGCCTGTTTTCACAGGGTAACACCAGCAATGGTTGGTGCATAGCTGCACTATGGAAGTTCAAGAACCATTGCAATACTCCTGGAATATTACAGGATAATACTCAGGAATCTCCCAAGAGGAGATACAGCAAGCCATTACAGTCCACACCTATGGTATTTTTAAAGGTGATCTTGGAATGAACTGTTTTCTTAGCCATTCCTAG